TTCCACAAAATTTAGTCTAATTTACCACTTATAGTAGGTTTTCTAAATAAAAAAAACAAAAATATTCACTCTTCCTACTATCAGATAAATCTTTAAGTTCACATGTACCTTATACTCAAATGAAATTCCACAAAAAAAATAAATAAAATAAATTCCTATACATGTATGTAGGTCCATGTATCTATATATAAATGTAGTAAAAGTGCTCACACACACATGCAAGGACACACATACATAAATTCTATCCCCCCATTTGTATTAACTTACGAAACCAGTCATTGCAAAATTTATACAAATAAGTTATCAATAATCTTGTACTTTTTTTTTTATATATGCTTCGATAAATAATATCATTGCTTCCTTTAAATTATTCAATAAGTAAAATATTATTTACTTTTTTTAATTTGCAGGGATGTTTCATTAAATCTTATTATCTTAAAAAATAGTAAACATTATTATTATTTTTAAATTTCACATCAGTGATATGTTATCCTTTGTATAAATTCTAAACTTTATTAACTGAATGTTAGCTTTTTTTTTTTTCAATTAATTTTTTTGTTATTTAATTTCATTAAAAGGATTAGTGATGAGAGCAACAATAATATTTTTTAATTAATTAACAACTAATCTGATTAACAGGAGCAGTAGCAACAACAGTAAAAAAATAAAAAAATATACATGGTTTTCTTTTTTCGTAATTATAAATATATAATGTATTATTTGAATTATAAATATATAATTTATTATTTGAATTATAAATATATGATTTATTATTTGAATTATAAATATATGATTTATTATTTGAATTATAAATATATGATTTATTATTTGAATTATAAATATATAATTTATTATTTGAATTATAAATATATGATTTATTATTTGAATTATAAATATATAATTTATTATTTATAGAGGATTTGTTTTGCATAATAGGAGTAAATAGACTTACCTATTGTCCAACCTGAATTCCTTCCACATTTATTGAACAGGAGTAGAGGTTAATCCCTTGTTTCCTTTCAAGATATGGTTTACCAGTTCTCTCTCTTTCATTCATTCATTCTTTCATTCAATCATTCTTTCATTCATTCTTTCATTCAATCATTCTTTCATTCATTCATTCTTTCATTCTTTCATTCATTCTTTCATTCATTCATTCATTCTTTCATTCATTCATTCTTTCATTCATTCATTCTTTCTTTCATTCATTCATTCTTTCATTCAATCATTCTTTCATTCTTTCATTCTTTCTTTCATTTTTTCATTCATTCATTCATTCTTTCTTTCATTCGTTCTTCTACCAGGGCCACAGTGATTTAACAGCCTTAACTTTTTGGCAGTTGGACTAACTAGTGGCTGTGACTTAATTTTATGAAGGTACCAGATTGGTAGGTTACTACTTCCAACTGGTTATTAAGAGCCCAAACTTTTTGATAGCACTTAGAGGGCCTGCTCTGATCAACAGTTACATAATATTGGGTTATTTGTAGTGCTATGTCATACATGGATAGGTGTCCCTGCATATGTTTCCAGTGGGGGGGGGGTGCAACCCAGAGGCCACACTATATTCTTTTCTCTCGCTGGTTTGTATTATCACTGACAACAGACAATTACAGTGGGGTTTTTTTCTCTCTCTCCTCAAAACAAATTTTATGGAAAACACAACAAAAAGAAATACAACTAAACCAGTAAACAAAAAAAATCGCCTACTCCCATGACTCAGCTTTTCTTTCCCTAATATTCATGGTATCTGTTCCAACTTTTGCAGTGTAGAATCTTTCCTCTTGGAACGGTCACCAGATATCTTTGCCCTCTGTGAAACTAACTTAAATCCTTCCATTACTCCCAATGAATTCTTGGTTCCGGGCTGTCTTCCCCTTTGCTGAAAAGATTTCCAGCATTCACATACATGGCCTTGGTGTTTACACCTGGGATAATCTTCCAATATCCAGAGAATTCTTTCTTGAGTCCCCAGACTACTCCTTCATGTGCTTCTGTCTTTCGTTACTAAACTCTGTTAGGTATCTCTTTTTCCTTTATCGCTCAAGTCTTCCCAGGACTGTAGTATATTAGACATAATTGCTGACAGTATAGAAAAGGCATATTCCCTCTACCCATCTGCAAACATCTTTGCCTTTGGTGACTTTAATGCTCACCACAACACGTGGCTTAAACATTCTAAAGGGGCTGATGTTGCCAGTGTTCAAACATTAAATTTTTTCATTGCCCAATCCCTTACTCAAATCTTGGACTTCCTTACTTGTTTCCCTAGCAAAACCGAGCAGCATGCTTCTCTACTTGATTTATTTCTTACTTTCTCTCCTCGTTCTTGCTGAGCTTTGCAACAATGCCTTCTTGGTAATTCTGTGGTAGCTATTGGTATTTTGTTCCAATCTGCTATTAAACAGGAACCCCCTATTCACTTCTTTCCATTACCAACATGCTGATTAGGACTCACTCCATGACACCCCTTGGACTGACATCTTTTAACTCCCAAGTGAAAATTGTGACACAGAGGTTTCTTCTTGGGTCAAAGCCAACATGGATGCTTCCATTCTTTCTTGGAAATACTGGATGAAACCTCAAACCTTTCCATGGTTCACACCAGCATGCTTGACTGCTATAGCACACAGGAACCACTATTTTTTATTATACCAGCATGACGGCTCTCATCACAACAGATGCTTATTTGTTGCTGCTCGCAATAAATGTAAGCGAATGCTTCAAGGAGCAAAGTCCCTGTTTACTGAGACAATGAGGCACTGCATAGCCTCTAGCAATGTTGGCTCTCGCGATTACTGACAGCTCTGTAACTCTATGAGAAAATAATGACATAATCAAGAGGCTGACATTTTACACTGCTTCAAATAAAAGGTTAGGAAGGAAACCCCCATCAATATTGAAAAGAGTGATAACAGGAAAATAATTGAGAAGACTTTTTCCATGATTCCATAGCTAGAGAGCTTTTGGGATAACTGTCTATGTACTGTACCAAATAACTGACAACAATAGCAACAACTACAATGGATAGCACATATTACATGAAGGCAAAAATAATGACATAATCAAGATGTTGACTTTCCACACTAGTTCAAACAAAAAGTTAGGAAGGAAACCATTGGTACTAGAAAGAGCAATAACAGCTATATGGCCAGGGAGTGAAGAAATGTGTAACTAGAATACCACCGGCTGCTCGGTCAATGAATTCCAAATGTTTCCTTGTAGGGAAACAGCTATTATTACCATTATCTTTAGAGATGAGGAGAACAGATACTACACTTTGATCCCAGTCTGATTGCCAGGGAGTGAAGAAATGTGTAACTAGAATACCACTGGCTGCTCGGTCAATGAATGCCAAATGTTTCCTTATAGGGAAATGGTTAATAAAAATGAAGCAAAAGTGTAATTTATTTATAATGAGGACATCAGAGAAAATATTGTTTACAACTTGAGCAAAGCAACAAAGATAATATAACTAGACATATGACATTCTCATTTGTAACATTCACACACACACTCACACACATACATGCACACACACACACACACATTGTAATTTCCTTCCTGTTTTCCATCATTTTCTGTGGAGTTTGTTTTCATTTTCTTTAAAAGTTGGAGATCTGAAGAACATTGTAGATTGGATTTGCTCAGACCCTGGGGTAAAAAAAATGCAATGACGACAAAATGAATTCTACTGTCAAAACAGCTCTTAGAATGATAAGGAATCTTCTCAGAATCAGAAAATTAGATTTGTACACCTAGGAAGGTGGAATGGTCTGGCTAAAATGTTTTGTGACTTTTGATCATATGATCACCAAAGTTAAGCAATATCCAGTCTGGTCAGTACTTAGATAGTTCACTGCTTTGGAATACCAAGTGTTGTAAGGTGCTGCTGTATGGGTGGTATAGTGGATAACAACATGGATTTGGAGAGCAGAGAACCGAGTTTCAGTTTCAGTCAGGTGCATTATATTCATTCATGTGTAAATATAATTGGGAAAGGTATGAATCCATCTTTTCTCCCCTCAACTATGGGTTAATTAGTGGGACTTAATAAATCATTATTATCCCCCAAAATGTTTCTCAGTCAGAAAATTTAACTGATTCCAGTTAAGAATGAGTGGGGTTCAAACAGATTCTACACTATGATCCAATGTAGAAGAATCTGAAATCTACATTTAAACAAAAGCTTACAACCACATAACATTGAAACATCAGTTCACCAAAGTTAAGCAATGCAGAGTCTGGTCAGTACTTAGATGGGTGACTGCTTGGGAATGGCAGGTGCTGTATGTTGCTGTTATGCAGGTAGTGTAATGGGCAACAGCTCAGTTGGATTCATTATGTTCACTTACGTGCAATTACCCTTGACAAAGGTATGAATCCAACTCTTCTCCCCCCAGCTATGGGTTAATTAGTGGAACTTGGCTTAGTAAATCATTATCAAGTATCTCAGTCAGAAAATGTTCATAATAAATTTTAGACTGGGAATAATAATGTTATTGAATATTTTGTATTATCAACAAAATTTTATGAATGATTGAAATATTAGCAAAATCAACCACATTTACTATTTTTTTAGTCATATCATCCCATGCAAAAGGCTTCACATTGAAGCACCAATACCCATATGATTGTCAAAGTTAAGCAACATCAAGCCTGTTCCGTGCTTAGATGAGTGACCCTTAGGGAATATCAAGTGTTGTAAGGTGATGCTGTACAGGTAGTGTAATTGATAACGGCTAGGACTTGGAGGTCAGAGAACCAAATCCCAGTTTCAGTTGGGTCCATTACATACACTTACGTGCAAATACTCTGGGGAAATGTATGACTCCATCTCTTTTCCCCCCAGCTATGGATTAATTAGTGGAACTTGTCTTAGTAAATCATTATTATCCCCCCTCCCCAAGTATCTCAGTCAGAAAATGTAACTGATTCTAGCTTAGAATGAGTTGAGATCCAATGTAGAAGAAAACGAAATCTACATTTAAAAAAGGCTTACAGCCACATCACATTGAAGCACCAGTTCCTGTATGATCACCAAAGTTAAGCAACATCAAGCCTGTTCAGTGCCTAGATGGGTGACCGTTTGGGAATATCAGGTGTTGTAAGGTGTTGCTGTGCAGGTAGTGTAATTGATAACGGCTAGGACTTGGAGATCCCAGTTTCAGTTGGGTCCATTATATATATTTATGTGCAAATACCCTGGGGAAATGTATGAATCCATCTCTTTTCCCCCAGCTATGGGTTAATTAGCGGGATAGATTATTATAGAGTGAAATAGATACATACGAGTGAGATACATACAGATAGATACGAGCAGAGTGAGATAGATACAAAGTTAGACAGATACAAAAAGAGTGAGATAGATACAAATTTAGATAGATATGAACAGTGAGATAGATAGATAGATAGATAGATAGATACTAAGTTAGATACAGAGTGAAATAGATACAAAGAGAGTTAGATAGATACAGAGTGAGATAGATAGATACTAAGTTAGATACAGAGTGAAATAGATACAAAGAGAGTTAGATAGATACAGAGTGAGATAGATAGATACTAAGTTAGATACAGAGTGAAATAGATACAAAGAGAGTTAGATAGATACAGAGTGAGATAGATAAATACAAACATAGATGGATATGAACAGAAATGGATATATACGAAGATAGAAAAAGGGTGAAAAAAATTTGAAGAAATTGAAATAGATTGATATGAACAGTGTGATTTAAATGCAAGCAGATTGAGATAGATGGATACAAAGTCAGATACATACAGGGATAGACACGAACAAAGTTAAATAAACAAATGGAGTTAAATAGATACGAACAGAGTTAGTAAGCTAGAAAAAGGTTGAGATGAATTTGAGGAAATTGACATACGAACAGTGTGATTTAAACGCAAGCACATTGCAATAATACGTGTGACAATGGCATAGTGGATTAAATGTTGGTTCATGAATTTGATGACATAGTAATTGTGTGTTCAATCTCTGGACTGGGTTAATCAATAATGGCTGGCCATTTGTATTCAAGGATAGCTGTCTACTAAGGCAGCTAGCTGATCCCTGTTGCAAACTCTTGCTCAGGCACATTTTTTGTGTTTGTTCAACATCCACAGAGCCTACCTGGGACTTAATAAATCATTATTATCCCCCAAAATGTTTCTCAGAATTTTTAACTGATTTCCTTGTAGGGAAAGGGCTATTATTACCATTATCTTCGTAGATGAGGAGAACAGATACTACACTCTGATCCCAGCCCGATGGCCAGGGAGTGAAGAAATGTATAACTAGAATACCACTAGCTGCTTAATCAACAAATGCCAAATGTTTCCTTGTAGGGAAACGGCTAATATTGCCATTACCAAATATAATATTACTATTACCTTCCTGTTCCTATCAAAACATGTTCAGAAATCGGGGTTGCATTTCTGCTAAGGTCTGCTCATCATAGTTGCAGTATCAACTGCAACTATGATGAGCAGACCTTTGTTACAGTTTCTGGGAGAGAAACATGTTATCTAGCTTAATCTGAACAATGCCAGCACAGTCAAACCCTCAGCCACAATGACTTGTGACTTTGTGCTCGCACAGGCATCAATGGCCTGCAGTTCCATCTACCAAATTTCACTCACAAGGCTTGGGTTAACCTTTGGTATGGTTTTCAGGCACTTTCCAAAGTTGTCACAAACTGAGATCACCCCCTCCAGACTGATAGCATCAAGAAGACACCTTGACAAATTGACCCTAGGCCTCATGGTCAGAAAGCAAACATTCTCACCACTCAGGCGCAATGTCCTGGGCTGGGTAGTACAGATTTAACCCAGTGGAAAGAAATTTGGCAATAGTTAAAAAGTAATAAATAGGAATTAGAAATATCCCTGGATGTGTGTCCATGGAGTGAGAACAATCTACCCCCATAGATTAAATAAAGGGTTCAGTTTATAATTGAGTGAAGGTGAGTGAGATTGAAAAGCAGCTGAAGAAAGCCAAAGAGCTTTCTTTTTATGTGCCATGTCCTTTCAGGACGTAGGCGATCATAGCTCTCCACCTCCCTCTATCCCTTGCAGCTCTCAACAACTTCCTTCTCTCTGCTTTCCCCCCTAGACCACATTCTGTCATCCACTTGCTTAAGCCTACCAGGTATGTCACGCGTTGTTTTCCCTGGTCTCTCTTTCCCTCTATTCGACCTGTGAGTATCAGATTCTCCAGGCCCTCTTTCCTCATTATGCGTCCTTTTTTCCTTTATATGTGCCATGACCTTTCAGGACGTAGGCGATCATGGCTCTCCACCTCCTCCTATCCCTTGCAGCTCTCAACAAGTTCCTTCCCTCTGCTTCCCCCCCCTAGACCACGTTCTGTCATCCACTTGCTTAAAGCTGCTAGGTATGTCATTCATTGTTTTCCTTTATCTCTCTTTCTTTCTATTCGACCTGTGAGTATTAGATTCTCCAGGCCCTCCTTCCTCATTATATCCCAGGAACATCAGCTGCCTCTTCCTGATATTAGGTTCGCATCCTCTCTAAGACCTCATCATTGCTTACATGCTCAGTTCATGATAGCCTTAGCATCCTTCTGTAGAATGACATCTCCGTCACCTCAAGTCCCTTCTTCATCTTTGAGGAAATCATTCAACATTTGTTGCTGTAAAGAAGGACAGATGTCATGTAACAGCTCAGTATTCTTTCCTTCATTACCAAAGAAATCCTCCTGTCTTGCAATACTCTGCCCAACTTTTGAAATGTGTTCTTGGCCATCCCAATACATCTACAGATCTTAGTGTTGCATTTACTGTCCTCTGTAAGAACACTGCCAAGATATTTAAACTGCCAAGTTTGCTTGATTCTAGTGTTCCTGACCTGCAAATCACATTTCAGACTAATCCTTTTACTGATGACCATGCATTTTGTTTTGTAGTTTATGCTTAGTCCTTTCTTCTTGCTCTCCTTTTTTACCTTCTGTAGAAGATTTTGTAATTTCTTTTCTATGTCTGCTATCAGTACTGTGTCATCTGTGTATCTTATGTTGTTAAGATTATGGCTGCCAATGCTAAATCCCTATAGGGTTTCAAATTCTCTCAGAATTGCTTCACTGTATATGTTGAACAGGTCTGGTGAGAAGATGCATCCTTGCCTTACACCCCTTTCTATTTTTTATATTTGCTGAACTCATTCTCTATGTGTATGCATGGTGTTTACTGCGATTATAGGTTCTTGATTATTTTAATATCTTTCTCGAATATACCAAGGTTACTGAGCAGTTCCAGCAGATCCTTGTGGTGTAATTTGTCGAAGGTTTTTGTGTTGTCTATGAACATAGCACAACAGCTAAAATGTGATAACAACAACAAAGATGAGGACAATAGTCCGTATGTAAATAATGTAAATAATGATAACTCCTCATCCCAGAAATTCAGACAGAAGGCGATCAGGTGATAATAACAGCAAAGATGAGGACAATAGTCCGCATGTAAATAACGTAAATAATGATAACTCCTCATCCCAGAAATTCAGACAGAAGGCGATCAGGTGATAACAACAACAAAGATGAGGACAATAGTCCGCATGTAAATAATGAAAACAGTGATAACTCCTCATCCCAGAAATTCAGACAGTAAGATAAGAACAGGGTTTAGTGACATCACAATTGTGAGTTCATCCCAGGGCTGGGTAGTGTGGATCTCGATGTTGACGTACATAGCTCTAAGTATATTTATTGCATGGACACATTTGAAACTTGGTGACAATAATTAATATTTACTGTAGATTACAAATATTATAAGTACAAAAGCTCTTTGCAATGTTGCCTAAACTATTCCAATTTAAGCACAGTATTAGACTGATGATGAGGTCTCACCAATTTACGGTTGAGCTTCCCCTTGTCCTTTCTATAAATACTTTGATGGTAATTGTTTGGATGAACCTTCTATGATGGTACCAAGACTTTACGAATTTAAGCGCTGTACTAGACTGGCAACAAGGCCTCACCAATTTACAGTTGAAATGGTTAGATGTAACTGTAAATTCTATGCTAACAGCTTCTTTTCTCACACTTCTTGCTTGTGGAACTCCCTTCCAGCTCCATGCTTTCCAGCAAAAACTTTAATGTTTTTTTTTTAAAGCAAATCACCCAAAGTAAGGTGGGAGTGCCACTAGCATGCAAAGCGTTACAGAGAGTGAGAGTAAAGTGGAGTGTTTGGGAAAAGGATAAAGAGAAGGATAGGGATGAAGGTTAAGGCCTCAGAAGATGTCAATTGACATTACATTTGAATATTAAGATTATAGCTATCAGGGAAGCAACTAAGGGAAAGGGTGTTCCACTGTTGAGAAGTGCGAGATAAGAATCTGTTGGAATAGAAGAGATGGCTACACTTAGTCATTTCGACAGTGAAAGGGTGGGGGCCAAAATGCTACCCTAGTAGCATGCTTAAATTCATACAGTTTGGCAATGAGTGAAAGTAGCTTGTTGGAGAAGTTGCCATGAAGGTGCTTATAGAAAAGACAGAGGGAAGCCACAGCATGTCTGTGAGATAGCAACTGCAGACAGGATGCCAGATAAGGACCAACCATGTTGCATATCTATATCTGGATTTTGTTGAGGACATCAAGATGAACAGCTGGAACACCAGACCATATATAGAAGCAGTATTCCATGCAAGGGCAAATGGTTGATTTGGAGATTTGAATGTCAATCACTATCTGCTGTCCTCCTGGTTACTCTAACTCTGTTCTCCGTCCTTAGCAATGTTCCTGTTTCTAACTGTAACCATTTTTGTGATGATGTCAACGAACACTCATTGCCACTCACTTTTGTAATGCTTGTTGTAGTAGAGACTTTGTAATTGCAGATACAACTATAGTACACCTTTGAACAGTGCTGGTGTCAGAAACCTTCGGATATCACTTGCACTAATAGTACTTGCTTGATAATACTCACTCAAATAGTAATCCGTATGGTGGTCCGAGTAGAGAAATAGTATAGAGAATAGCAATCCGTATAGTAATAGAGGGTAGAATAGAATTCAGTAAAAGAGATCAATCTAGATGTCATGCAATTTCCTATATATGCGTTTCCACTTAATTCAATAATGGGTTCGCCTGTATTTGG